ACATACATACACATACATAAGTACGTACATATATACATACACATCCACACACAAACATACACAAGTTTATACATACATCCACGCATGCACGCATGCCTGTGTTAGCCAATTCGGTAGCATGCACTAGCAACAGAATTCGTCTTCACCACCATTGCCATTGCCAGAGCAGGTCAGCAGCCAGGTGTGCAAGGCCAGGCAGCGACGTCCAATTGTGTATATTTAAATAATCTGCATTGGATTAAGCGGCGTCGCCTCTGAACAAACCTGCGGCTCCTCAACCGATAGTTTTTCCGAGTCTCACACTCGCACAACACTTGGGGATCAGGCCGTTGGGGTGCCGGCCAGCAGCTGGAGAGCCATGGTACTGGTTCCTCAGCATTCCGACATCGTGGCAATGGACCCTCCGTGACTCTCAGCGCAAAGAGCTCCAGCTACAATTTCAAGCTACTAATACTAACCGAATCATGTACCAGACTAGCGATGACGACTTTGGCACAGCCTGTGCAGGATGCAACTTGTCAGAGTTTGAAATAGCACAGTCAAGCGTTGGTCTATGGTGATTCATAGCATCAGACCAAGGGACTTTGCTTGAGCTTTCGCGATGCGGCCGATGCAGCCTGAAGGGCAGAGGGCCAGAGACAGGAGAGTTCTCGGAGCTGCAATAGCACTCTGAGAGACCGTTCCCGCAACCGTCCAGGCCTGCGCTAGGTTCGCGGCACGAAGCCAAACTTCCCTGCGACAGAACCTGCATAAGTCATGAGGAGATCTCATGTTTCCCTGCCAGACTGCTCAACACGAATCCAAGCTGCATCCATTTGTATGTCTGGGGAGACCCCTCCTCAGTTTCTGTGTGCTCTCGGGCGTCTCGAAAGGAACATCATGACAGTGTAGCATGCCATGCGTGATCGAAGCAGAGGCTCGAAGCGCATCCGCCGCGCGCTCGTTGAGATGGTTCTCCCAGATAAATGTGTCCAATTCGTCAGCTGTAAGCTCAGCTTCAATGGGACCTGACATGCCCGAACGGCCACTTGGAGACTAGACTCCAGTCAATTCACGTCGGGGGCACGCTCCGGCGCCTGAGGTGGAGGGGCCCATTGCGCCTGCGAGTGAATGTGAGGCTTGGCAAGGCATGTTCAAGGCTCCGCGGCCTCTTCCATAAGTGGCAGATGCAATGCAGCCTCCGCAGAAACAAAGAGGGAATCTCCGTCCAATCCCTGTAGGTCGCATAGCCTCAGCCTTTCGTATTCGGCCGATGCCTGGCAAAAGCTGCCAGTACACGTGCGACATGCTTCCATGCATGTTAAGCTCCATCTTCATCGGCCGTTGAGGTCGAGCTGCAACCAGCGCTCGGTTCTCTGCATGTGGCAAGACTGCCCTGCTCCATCACCTGCAACCGGGCTCTTTCCCCCAACTCTCTGACTCTCTCTTTCTCTCTCTCGCGGGCAGGAGGAGCGTTCGAAACTCCTCGGGCCGATTGCCCGCCCGTGTGGGACAGGCAATATGCAGGATGCGTGAGACGAGTTCCACATCCCGAGAAAGCTTCGGTGTCTGTTCGACCCCTTCCGGGGATGTGCCTGCAGTCCTGTCACCCATCTTCCGCGACACACGGAAAGAGCAGGAGGCGGCTTTCAAGCAACCACACAAAACTGCAAACAAACCGGCCTAAAAGACGTCCTATATAGTGCTGTTGCCGGCCTCCTTCAAGTAACTGGGAGCTCCACTCCCCGTGACTCGTGTGTGAGACTGAAAGCTGCTTGGGAAAAGCTCTGTTCTGTTCTGTCCTGTTCTCCGGGGTATGAGGAGCTTGTCAGGCTCCCCGCGCCGATTGGCGACCCCCTGTTTAAGGGCCTTCGGAAAAAGACATGGATGCTCGGTGCACCCCACCAGCTCTCTCCCCCTCTCTCTCTCTCTCTCTCTTTCTTTCGTCAGGGCTAGGGGCAAGGGGAAGCTCCCCTTGCCCGCGCGCTGTCATCTCTATCTCTCTCTCTCTCTCTCTCTGTCTCTCTCTTTCTTTTCTTTCATCAGGGCTAGGGGCAAGAGAGGCAAGCCCCCCTCACCCGCGCGCGTTAAGCGCCCCCG